AGTAGGCAAGAATAGCCAAGAATAGTGTGGATTTAAGATGAATACAAAATGAAAGTTATATTTAACGCTAGTATGAAGTTAATTTGGCTTTTTGTTAATGTATCCTGAAATGCTAGTGAGATTGTCCCTTGGTAACATTTCACCCCCCCCCCCTTTTTTTTGGCTTGGAAGGAATAAGGTCAGATATATATTTATTTTATATTTGTAGGGGGAAAACAGTTTAAGAATACCCTGTTCAAACAATTGCCAATTCTGTGTTTCAATATATGTCTGTGCTTTTAGTGACGAATGGAACACAGAAACCTTATAATAAATGAAGACATTGATCCCACTAAGCCCCCTATCACCATTGTTAATAAACACAGTGCTAAGAATTCTAGCCAGTGAAGTGAGGCAAGAGAAATAAAAAAGTGTAACTTCTGAAAGAAATAAAACTCTCATTACTCTTGGATGATATGATTATGCAAATGATTTATCCTTAGATCTTCTTGGATTTTTTAGAATGTTTAAGAAGTGTGACTACAAATCAGTATTTTAAAAAATTCTATTTCTGTGTGCTAACAAGCACTTCTTCAGAAAATGAAATTAATAGCAAGACCATTTATAATAGAATCAAGAAACAGGAAGTTCCTGAAATAATCCTGACAGAAAAAGTATAAGATCTCTAGGGGGAAATTGTGAAGCTTCATGGAGATATTGTTGTTTTTGTGTGCATGTCTGATTGTGTGTTAGAACTTGAAAATCTAATTTAAAAAATTCATGGAAATATAATTTATTTAGAATAACCAAGACATTCTTGAAAAAGAACAAGATGGGATGACTTGGTTTACTAGGTATGGAGTGTTATTACAAAGCCATAGTAACTAAGATATATGTCATTTGTATAGGGATAAACAAACAAACCAAGAGAACAGAAGAAAGAGCCCACATCAGACTCATGCATGTATGGATGCTTGACCTGTGATCTCTGAGGGAAGGGCAGCTTTTTAAATAATCTGACCTGGAACAACTGGGTTTCCACATAGTAAAGATAAATTGAGACCCCTATGTTTCACTGCTCAAAAGTGTAAACATCACCTTAGGTAGATTATTGACCTAAATGTGAAAGGTAAAACTGTAAAGTTTTCAAAGGCTGTAGAAGTTAATATAGGACAATATCTTCATTACCTGCAGGTTCGGAAAGATTTCTTGAACAGGAAAGAAAAAGCACTAGAGGAAAAGATTGATAAATTGGACTGTATTAAAGTGAGAAACTTGAGGTTATTAAAAGATGCCATAAAGACAGTGAAAAGGTATACTCAGAATAGGAAAAGATATTTGCAATATGCAACTGTAACATTGTAGTATCCAAAATGTATGAAGAATGAATCAGTAACCTTTCCCTATAGGGTAGGGATGAGGGAGAGTGATGGGGAAGGAATGCACAGAGGCAAGCCTCTATGTGGTTTCAAATGTTCTCATTCTTGAAACGGTGGCATCACTTTTCTCTAACCTGGACTTATGTTTTATGCATTTATCTGAATAGAAGCACATTTCTTAACAAATGAGAAGAAATGAAAATAAATAGTTATTATGTTAGTTTGCTAGGGCTGTCAGAACAAAATACCAGAGACTGGGAGGCTTAAACCACAGTAATGCATTTTCTCACAGTTCTGGAGGCTGGAAGTCCAAGATCAAGGTGTCAGCAGGTTTGGTTTCTCTGGAGGCCTTTCTCCTTGGCTTGTAGATGGCCACCTGGTCGCTGTGTCCTCACATAGTCTTTCCTCTGTGCATGAGCGTTCCTGGTGTCTCTGTTTCTAAATTTCCTCTTCTTGTAAGGACACCAGTCAGATTGGATTAGTGCTCCCCTTGAAGGCCTCGTTTTAACTTAGTCGCCACTTTAAAGGCCATGTCTCCAAATACAATGACATTCTGAATTGTGTTAGGAGAGACAATTCAGCCACAACACTGATTGTGTAGTCAAGATCTTGAATAGTAAATGGGTTTTTGTGATAAATTTTCCCAAGCCAATTATTGGACTAAAAAAATCCTATATCGAAAAAAAACACCCCCCCCCCCCCACACACACACAAGTAAGATGGAAGTAAAGGTGCTGTGCTCTGGAGAACTGTGCTAACAGACAGACTCACACTGTGGCCATGTATGTGTAAATGTGGAACACAAAACAGCAATTTCAAATGAAATTAAAGTATCTTTTTAAGTACTCTCCAATATAAATGTATAACCAAATGAATAAATGATAGTATAAGCAGAAATTTTAGTCTCATCTTCATCCCTACACTTATAAATTCTGGTTGGCAAAAATTTTTTAACTCTTTTTCACTGGGAGAAGAAGGGATGCATTTTATTTGGGCATACATTGTATTTTTATTACAGTAACCTCTATTGTAACACAGTTTTTGTATTCCTAAAATTCACTCCACTGTGTAAATCATGCAGTGAAAACCACAGGGCTTATGGGAAATTTGAGGCACAACACTCAAAAACGTTGTCAGTGACACTTAAAAGCGTAGGAACCTAAAAGAAACAGCAGCATAGTTTTATACATGTTAAATACTTAAGAAATACATAAATACTATCATGAACACGGCACTTTACCTTAAAAGATACCCGAAGTTTTCTTGGAGAAGTGGACATTGGAAAGGTTGCATTGTGTGAGTTGTGAAGTGACGGGAAGAGGGTCACCTGAAATTGGAGGGTAAGTTGTAATAACATGTAGATGAGTGTGGCTCATGATAAACTGAGGTAGCTGGTAAGTGACTGGAGGTATGTGTGTGTTTTGAGTATTCCTATATGGCTTGGTTTAGCTGGCTGCAGTTTTTTGCGTTCATCTAGGGCAGTGATGGCGAACCTTTTGAGCTCAGCGTGTCAGCATTTTGAAAAACCCTAACTTAACTCTGGTGCCGTGTCACATATAGAAATTTTTTGATATTTGCAACCATAGTAAAACAAAGATTTATATTTTTGATATTTATTTTAAATATTTAAATGCCATTTAACAAAGAAAAATCAACCAAAAAAATGAGTTCGCGTGTCATAGGTTCGCCATCACTGATCTAGGGTTTCTACAGGTAAAATCATGCATAAGCAAAGACAAAATGCTTGCTATGCTCAAATGCTTGCTATGCTCAAATTATTGCTTAATCATGTTGGAACATATTTGTGTTTCCAAATAGCAGAACTTGTTAGATTTGTTGCCCCATCTTGTTCTCTTTACATGTTTGTAAGGATTCTGCGTAGGCTCTTTTTACTGAGCCTTTAAAATGACTGAGCCTTTAAAATGACTGCCTAACATAATGCTACATACCACGTTAAGTGTCTTGGTGTATTTTGAGTTTTTCCAGGCTAATGAATTGGGTAATTTGGGAGTGGAATCGGAGTTCTGCTGGAGTGTGGTGGGTGATCACTGTGATACACAGGAAAACATCAGTTCTTTGGTTTCAAGCAAGTGCGTTATGTTCAATGGCCTCCTGGCTTTCATTATTGCTACCAGAATACCTTTAAACCATAACCTGAACCAATATTATAAAGTGTGTGGTTGGTTATGTTTGGGGGATCCTTCCCATTCATTTCTTGCTTTTATCCACTGTAGCCATTTTATATCAAAGTTTAGCAATAACAGGTTTCTGGGAGAAGTCTTATTCTTTCATTCTCTCTCACTCCTCTGGCATATTTGGTTGGTAACAGTGAGGGCACGTGAAATGCTGCCCCTCATTTTCCTACCAGTTTTTTTTTTTTTGGTAACTTTTAAGACCCTTACATTGATGCCCTGAACTAGAAAATCAACTTTCTTTCACAGCATTTCCATTTCCCTTCCTGTCTAGGCATTTCTCTATGTTTCTGTAGTCCTCTGTGCATGCATCTCTCTTATAGTATACTAGAGGCCCGATGTATGAAATTCGTGCAAGAGTAGGGCTTTCTTCCCCCGGGTGCCAGCACTGGCTTCCCTCTGGCACCCGGGACCCGGGCTTCCCACTGGCTTCTCTCTGGCACCCGGGACCCAGGCTTCCCTCCGGCCACCCGCAGGCACCCGGGACCCAGGCTTCCCTCCGGCCACCCGCAGGCACCCGGGATCCAGGCTTCCCTCGCAGCCCCGGCTTCGTCCGGAAGGTCCTCTGGAAGGACGTCCAGTCTAACTAGCACATTATGCTTTTATTATTATAGATCATATTGTGTTTTGCAAAGTTGGGCTGTCTCTCTGAATAAACTGCATATTTCTTGAGGGCACGGACTATATTTTTATCATTTTTCTATATAGCAGAGTGTTTGCAATGCTGGTTAGGTGAGTAGATGGTTGAATGAATGAAGTGAGGCTGAAGAGAACTATCCATATGATCCTATAATTTGCTTCCCCCCCATTTTGACTAAGTTACATAATATAATCTCAGTTACTTGGTCACTTGATCTTAAGGGTTTTTGCAGTGCAATAGTAAAATTTACTTTTGTGGAACCAGTGATTCTATACCATCTGTTTTGTATTTTGGAGGTTTTTTGCTATAAATAATAAACATGCATGGCTGATTAGCATCCTTTGGGTTGAGGCTTTTTGGCACAATAGAATAGTAAAATCCTATTTTTAATCTTGCTGCTTTGAAATTTAAAAATATATATTGATTAAATGAAATCATCTCCAAAGGGAAGAGTATTTCTTTTAAGATAATAAGGAGAGCCCTGGCCAGTGGCTTAGTTGGTTGAAGCATCATCCTGTAAACCAAAATGTTGTGGGTTCAATTCCCTGTTGGAGCACATGCCGGGTTGTTGGTTCGATCCCAGTCAGGTTGCATATGGGAGGCAACTGATCCGTATTTCTCTCACATTAAGGTTTTTCTCTCTACCTGCCTGTCTCTATAAAATCAATAAAAACATAGCCTCGAGTGAGGATAAGTAAATAAATACATAGATAATAAGGGGGGAAATGTTACGGCTCAATTCTTGATTATTATTGCAACTACATAAGTAACTTTTGAATTGTTTTTAAGACTTTCTTTTTCTTCTTATAGGACCTCTTTATTGTTAGACATGAATTGGCCATAATGAGACTAGCTGCCTTTATGGGCATTACTATGTTAGTTGGAATAACTGGACTCTTTTATACTCAACTAATTGGCATCATCACAGTAAGTATATTTTTAATGTAAAATATTGTATTTATGAACATATTCCCTAAGTATGAACTTAATTCTAAAATGTTACAGAGAGTTTAGAAATTAGAGGAGAAAATTACCCAGAGTCATTTATCCCCATTTTCAGAAGCCTGTGTAATTTTAAAGTAGTTATAATAGTGTACAGAGTATACATACAATTTTTCATCCTGCCTTTAAAATTTAGCATAAACTATTTTTATATAGCTGTAGATTCCATAAGTAATCTCTCCCCTGTTGATCAGGGTCAGTGTGCAATTATTGTTTTCTATATTACAAAAAACACTACTTTGTGGAAATGGAGTTACTGATAGAAACATTTTATTAGTAATTAAATCTTATTTTTGCATGTACATATTAGCTAAATGGGATTTAGCACAACAGAAAAGATCAAAGAGTGTGAGAAATATTGATAAGAACTTAAAAGTTTGACAATACATGGCATTGCAGAAGATGTAGGGTAAACACTTTCTCATATATTGGTTGGGGTGTAAATTGGTATATCCTTTTTGAAGAACAAATTATCAGTGTCTGAAAATTTAAAATGCACAGTCCTTTCTCTACACATCCTGTAGAGACTATTTAATTATATGTAAATAAACATGTAATTTAAAAAAGATCTTCATTATTATACTATATATAATGTATGTATTATATATGAAAACTTAAGTGATTATCAGAATGTATTCAATGAAAGAAATGTATAGTAAGAAAAAAACACATCAGAATTTACTATAAAGCAATAGTATTCAAGAAAGTATGGTACCAACATAAGGATAGACATATTGATAAATGAAATGGAATCGAGGATCCGAAGTATACACATATCCTTATGGACAATTATTTGCAATAAAGGTGCCAAGACTGTTTAATGGGGGAAGGTAAAGTCTTTTCAAAGAAATGCTGCTGGGACAACTAGCTATCCACATGCAAAGGAGTAAAATTAGACCCTTACCTCACGCCATGGACATACTAGTATATGAACTCAAAATGGACCATATACCTAAATGTAAGATCTGAAATTATAAAAATTATAAAACTCATAGAAGAAAACATAGGAGCAAGTCTTGGGTTAGGCAGTACTATCTTAAATATGACACCAAAAGGGCAAATGACCAAAGAAAAAAATTGATAAATTGGACTTACTCAAAACTTTTGTGATTCAAGGGACATTATTAAGAAAGTGGGGGTGTGTGTGAGAAAACAGCTCACAGAATGGGGGAAATATTTGCAAATCATGTATCTGATAAGAGACTTGTATATAGAGTATATAAAGAACTCTTATAACTCAATCATAAAAAGACATTCTAATTAAAACATGGGATAAGGATCTACATGGGAATTTCTTCAAAGAATATATACAAATGGACAATAAATACATATAAAGATGCTCAACATCATTAGTCATAAAGGAAATGAAAGTCAAAACCATAATGAGGTTTTGACTATAATAAAAAATACACTAACAAACGTTGGCGATTCATTATAAAGTGCTTATAGTGTAGTAATTCAATCATAAAGTAATTCACAATTACAGTAATCCCTCGATTTTGCAGACCTCGATTTAATGGACTTCAGATTTAACGGACTCAATTTCCAGTCTGTAGTTCATATGTGAAAATTAACACCCTATTAATTTTAAAATGCTTTTAACCAAGATTTGCTTATAATTAAATTAACGGGTTTTCTTGTTTGATTGTTATTCGTTTACTGGTATTTTTAACAAATTTTAGTGAATAAGATAAAATAATTAGAAATTACTTAAATTTAAAAATAGTGGATTTCTAATCAATTTCCAAGGTTAAAAGTCAACACAACCAGATGTTTCTGTGTACTAGACTGATCTTAAGCCCAATTTTAAAGGATTACCTTTGATTATTTTTAGATTTAATTTTAAACAGGATTTAAATATATGTGCTTGTCTATTTTTACTAAAATTAATATTGAAGTTAAAGTGTTTTCAAAGCAATCAACTTTAAAGCGTTATTTAGGGAACAGATTATTCTAATTTTTCCTTACTTAGACTGTTTAGTCTTTTTTTTCCTGTTTCTGAATGAAATGGGTAGTGATGGCAGTTATTAGTGTAATTGATGTCAGAATTTCTTATTGAGCAGTAGTTCACACACAGCCAAGAATAGTGTCCATCTGACAACCACCAATACTAATGGTGCTGGGTGATTGTGTCAGTCATGTTTCCAGTCACTGGGCTTGGAGAGAGTTAATCAAGAAGTGCAGTAACAGCTGGCCCAGCGCTTCTGGCGAGGTTCTGACAGTGAGCTATTGTACGTGTGACAGTGCTCTGACAGTTTCTCTGAATGTTGTATACAGGCATTTTTGTTTTCTGGGCACCGTGGAGTTTATGTAATAGATTAAGCTTTTGGTGGGGTCTCTGGGGCTTAGTGTTTTTCTCAGTTGTGGTGAGGTTTGGGGTAGGGTGGGGAAGATGTATTTACTTGCAGTTTTGGAAAAGGCTTTAAGTTCTCAAAGAAAAAATTGAGTTTTTGCTTTTGTCTCACAGGTACTATTTTGGACTCTGCTTGAATTGCTAAAGGTAGCTTAAAGCAGAGCTTTTCCAGTTAAAAGGGGAAAATGTCTTTCCCCTACCCCGCCCCAGTACTGGCTCACGGTTACCTAAATAAATACAGAAAGAATTACAATGCAGGGGTAACTTAATTTTGACTTGGTTATATTATGCCATGAAAAGTATCTTATGTTCACAATGTTAAATTAGTTTAAATGAGATTATCTATTAAATAACATTCTCATTAGCAGACAGTTAGTGGGTTTACCTGCCTTTTAATATATACCCAGAAATGTAGTTCTGAGATTATTAATCCTTATAGTTAAATTTTGCCAAGTATCCCACTGAGTCAATGTGGTGAATTAGCAGCATTCAGTACAATCTCTGTACAAATTATGTTTGGTTTACTCAACTCCAAACCGGCATTGCAAATATGGAAAACAATTTAAATCTATTTGTGTAATAGTGTAGGGGAATAGTGCATTTTAATTTTCTTAAAGCATTATGAGTGATTAAATAGACGTGTTTTTATTTGGTTAGGAGGCTAAACACTTACGAGTTTTCCTTTTACTTGCAATTGTCCACACATCGGATCTTAATCTGATTTTAAAACATTATAGGATTGGAGAAAACAGAAACTTATTTATAGTACCTTGTAGATCTTCTCTCTGTCATATTCCATCATTAGGTTAGTTACTCTCCATGTCCCAGCCAAAGGAGCACATTTGCTCATCTTACTTCTATTGATAACCAAAAATCCTACTGAAAGTAGAATTTTGTATTAAAAATGTACGAATAGTAAACCTTATGTGTTGATCACAAACATAATTTTTCAGCTGTTTCCAGTGCTTAGTATAAGGCTTATTTATACAATATATTAGTGTGTGTGATCATCCTCTCTGGAATCCTCTGTGTTTCTGTATAATTATTTCTTGTAAACTTGACTGATTTCACTAGCCTGTAAGCTCCTGATGCTAAGGACTGTGTCATAATAGTTACTTAGTAAATTTTTGATAGATGGATTAATGAGTAAATGAATCTTGGCTTATGTACTTAGTACTTGGTTTTCAACTAGATTGGATTTTATTAGTATAGTCACCCACAGTCCTGGTCATTTTAAAAACCACGCTTTTATTTAAACAATTTTTAAAAGTTGCATCCTGATATAATTGAGATATTGTATTTCCAAGCCTTTTTAGAAAGTGTTTAGTAGGCAATATGAAATAAGAATGACCACCATTTATTGAGGAGTTATTAAGGGCTCTAATGTATATTAACTACTTTAGTCACTGTAAAAGACCTATGAGGTAAGTATTATTATTTGAAAATTGAGATACAGACTTTTAGTAACTTCCTTAAGGTTTTATATAGCCCGAAAAGAAGTACGGGAATTATTTTGGAAAGAGATTTTCAGTGACTATATACATGTAAGATCTCCTGTCCTCTCACTTTAGTTCCATGATAGATTAAATCCTTATGTGAATTTCAGATTTCTGATAAACTATATAGCTGGCCCTCTGTTGGAGATGGATGCTTAAAGAACCATTTATTTCAAATGAGGAATAGCATGAGTTCTGGCTTCAGAGGAGGGGAAAGAGCTGATAGTATCAGGAAATGCTTTCTCTTTGCACTGCTGATATAAATTAAAATTAAGGAATCATGCTATTTCTGTCCATGTTCAGTTTGTTTAGTGCTGCAAACATATATTCAGTACTCACTTGGAACAATACATACTAGTAGATGCTATGGAAGATGCAAAGTTAAATGACCTTTTTGCTCTCCGTATGTGGATCAGAGGTGCTAGAAAGCCAAGCAAAGGTTTACCTTAGAATTAGTAGAAGTTAGTAATAAATAAAACAGGTATACAATCTCTAGTTCTGAAAAACTTTTTTGAATAGTTCATTAGTTCAATTTAAATCCACAGAATCAGGTATGTACAACAGCGTTAGAAGCATAATAAGAGCAAAGAGTGCAGGCGATGACTGAGGTAAGATTGAATTGTCTTCAGGGAGGCTTTCAGATAGAATGTTCTTAGTATTTCAAGTCTTCAGTTTGGCAGGTCTAGAAACTCCATTTTGAACATGTTCGTAAGCTTTGCACAGTGGCAGTAGCATAGCTAATGAGGTTTATCCGAGGTGCAATTATTACTAATCGAAAATGTTTCCAGAGTTAATGAGGCCGAGAAGCAGTGATTCTTGCTTCCAGACTTAAAAGTGATAGTTATAGATATAAAGGAGATTGTCAGGTGTGTCAAAGGACTCTTTACATTCTTCTTCCCTGTGACAACATATATGGTAAAGTGTTGGTGAGAATGAACTCAAAGCAGGACAAATTAATTGGATGGATTGTATCATCAAAGTATCTATTTCAAGAGGACTAAATTCTCAGGTCTGTCAACCAGGAAACTTCTGGTGATAAATTCTTCCTCTTTGCCCCTCTCCCTCCCAACTTTTCTAGTAGGCAATGAATACCTCCCTCTTATTTTCTGCTAGGAACTCCCCCCCCCCAGCCCCCCCTCCCCCCATACACACTTTAGATATAATCTTATTAGGTAGGACACCTTTTTTTTTTAATATATTTTATTGATTTTTACAGAGAGGAAGGGAGAGGAATAGAGAGTTAGAAACATCGATGAGAGAGAAACATCGATCAGCTGCCTCCTGCACATCTCCCACTGGGGATGTGCCCGCAACCCAGGTACATACCCTTGACCGGAATCGAACCCGGGACCCTTGAGTCCGCAGGCCGACGCTCTATCCACTGAGC